CAGGGAGCATACTAAAAGGGTTCCTATGAAATACTAATAGACCTTTCCTGAATTCCACTTCAGTGCGTACGAACAATAGTACCAGAGCAAGGTTAGGGTGAACATTTTTATCCATATTTTGCTGCAGTTTTGCCCTCCCTGACCTTAATTCGGCACCATGGTTTGCTGGAATGTGGAAAGGTCTATTAAGACAGCCAAGTAAAAATGCTCAGGGTTAGACTGTGAGGCAGTTTGAGCCAGTTTTTCTCAGTACAGACTTTTCCTTTAGAACCTTCACGCCTTCTGCTTTAATCAACAACACAGAAACTTTAAAAACACAATAATGTGATTTAATTAATCAGATGTGATACACACACCTTCCATCCCACCAAGTCTCAGAAGAAAGTACTGAAGAAAATGACCAAGTTTCTCACAGTTCCCAAATCAGGTAATCTATGTGTTTATAGTATTTTAAATTTGTAATCTTCACAATGCTGTGTTTCTACACTGTAAGTTGTTTTATAGACTTGTACAGTATTAGTGCATGTTATCAACAGGTTATGAGGATCAAGAAAATCACAAACTATGGGATAGCAATCTTGAATTTGGTATCAAGTTCTCAAAACTGTCGAGAACTGTGTAATGGTATATTTATTTTAAGAAAAAATTAAAAATTTGGGGTGGGATTTAGACAATAAGATGATTAGAGCATGAAGTCCTTCATCCAAGATGATCAGAATTTATATATTTTTGCCAAAGGAAAAAGAAGAACTTACTTATTCAAGAACCTACACATTATAAGAAATGGAATCCATAGAGGGCCATGAATATTGGTAACAAACTAAATGACTGCATTTATTCTTACTATTAATTTCAGAATCAACTTTTTCTAATGCTGATTGTAAAGATGCTGGAAAGCAAACTCTTGCAGAGTTTAGTGAAGTGAATGATCCAGCTTTTTTAGAGCCCATGCCTGGCACAAAGCCATCTGAGACTATCAAAACAAGGGATATCAATACAGACAAACTGGAAAGGAGCAATGTAAAGGGAACTGCTGATTTGGTTACCACGAAAGGACCAAAAGATTCACAAGTAGCGTCGTCATCTGGCCAATCAGTATGTGAACCTGTAAACAAAACTAAGCTGTTGAAAAAACAAGCACCAGGTAGAAGTGGTTTTTGTTATACCAGTTATATCATTTGGTACACTTTGGTGGCATATCAGGCGAGTTTGGTCGAGCCATGGTTCATATTTTGGCGAGATGTAGTCAAGTCAAAATACTCATGGTGAGACCAAACAAGCCTAATATGCTGCCAAAGGATACTAAAATCTGTACAATTAGGTATTTACCGTACCCAAATTTGGCCAAGTGACCATGATATTGTAGCCATATCAGGTCAGTGACATTGCAGGATATCAGGATAGTAGACACAGCTTCTGACTGGCTAATTGAAAATAAGGGTAACAGTAATATTATTAGGCACATTATATAGCAGTCACCAAAGCCATGTTTCTAGAAGTGTAAGTAAATACAAAAGTGGAAATTTTGCTTTTTGTTTCCATAGATTTATAGTACTTAAGAATGATTGAAACTATTTTTTGGATATATTTTTAACTTTTGTCTTTACAAGACATTGGCTTTGAAATTAGCTACTCATAAAATGTTCTTATTTTCTCTCTTGCTAGCACCTGGCATTGGAGCTGATCCAGACAAGCCTGCTTGCCGAAAAGCCAAAATTCTTCGTCTTGAGAGAAAAAGGCAGAAACTGGCCTTGGCTAAAGGAGAACAGGTAGATACAGGATGGAGACAAATATTACATTGCACAGCGATTTTTCATTTGTAAATAATATTATTATTGTCTAGCATCATAGGCCTGCAAAATGTGCAGAGTTGCAGCACCAGTATATTGCCATCAGGGCACACTACTGTATGTGCCTTGATGTTAGTATTTACTTACACTTCTAGAAACATTGCGATTCACATTTGTGTAAAATTCAATTTTTGAAAAAAGTTATTTAAAATTCAATTTGTGAAAAAGTTATTTGCCATCAGATTCCCATACAAATGCTGTAATTTCTGACCACTTTGCCTGCCCNGGTCAGACCCAGACAATGAGGAATTCAAACATACTCTCCCACAGACTGCAGAGCTATTTTTTAAATACCAAAGAGCAATCCATAAAGATCCCCCTGAAAAATGCACTGAGAGAAGGGTATTAAAAATATTTAACTCTAAAAGCCACTTTCAAAGTGAGTTGGGAAGGGGGCCACTTCTGTTCCATCAAGCACTTTACAAGGCATAATTGGCATTCTTTCTTTGAAACACATACAGTGTATTTTCAGGGAATGGTTTCATTGATTAGACTCGTGGTCGTGAGTGGTCCATTTGTTTTTTTACGTCAACAGAAAATAATTTTCAATTCTAAATTTGTGAGCTGAAACATTGCATTGTTTCAATTCTCAGGTTAAATTGGTGAGAGTGAACTTGAAGTCTGAAGAATTTAAAGCAACATATGATCAGACTTGTGCTGTGTTTGCAAAATATCAAATGGCTGTCCACAAAGACTGCCCAGATGAATGTGATGAAATGCAGGTTAGGTCGCTCTACGTTTAAACTACCAGAGTCTGAGTGGGTAAAAGAAAGCTTTGAAACATGAACTTGGTCTCTGTGAAGTCTTTGCTGTGTATACATATACTTGAAGCATAAGTTAAGTTACCTTTTTTTTGTCAGTATGTGAAAGTGATCATGTATACGCAATCATTGATTCCATTCATACCAAGTTGGAAATAGAAACCCCTCATTAAGTGCAACAGAACAGGAAGTGGCCCCATCCTTATTTAATTGCTCAAATGTTAATAAACCTGTTATTCCACAGTTAATCTTCTAGTTAAATGTAGTTAATTTTAGTTCAGAACAATTCAGTCAGAACCTTCAGTTGGATTTTGTTCTTGAACATACTTTCTTTCCCTCTTTCTGTAACCTTCTCTCAGACATAGAGGACCTTTCATGTCCAATTTTACTGTCTCATTGCTAAATGCAACCTTAAAATAATTATGGTTAATGGTGGAAAGCTCTAAAACACTTTGTACAGTTGAACCCTATATATAACAAACCTCTTCATGAGGGCGTCCTCGGTATAAGGAATGATATTCGTCAGCCTAGCCAGTCTTAAATGGGGCAATGTATGGAACAAAACCTCATTTTAACAAACCCCGTGATAACAAACTTAAGATATTTTCCCAAGATAAGCATTCTTTCAGAGTTTAATTGCCTTTTTGTGATAATTAATGACCATCTTTGACTCGTTTGATTATAGTTCAGAAGATTTTTGGTTGACTCGCCTCTTGAGGTATGCTTGCACTCTTTTGCATTCAATTTGTAACCTTGTGGCTTAATTAAACATTGAAATGTTCAAAGGTGCAAAACAGGTTGTCTAAGACACACGTCATGAAAGTAAAGGTTGTGAACTGAGAAGCACTATGTGAAATATATATGAAATAATTCATATTTGAACTGCAGTTGTAGATGAAAGTGAAGAATGATCATCACAGTAAATTTTCTAATTTAAGCAATTGGAAAGAAGAAGCCTGAAAAAAATCAGGGCTTCAACGGGATTCGAACCTGTGACCTCCGCGATACCAAATTTTAGGGCGAAGGAGAAACGGTAATAACATGACACAACCAGTGTACTCTAGTAGAGGGAATTGTGTAATGGGTATTTCTTTTTTCTAAGGTGCAGCTATTCACTAGGTTTCTCCTTCTGCCATGGCCCCCGCCATGTGGTATGCTCAAAATGAATTTCACTTGTCAATGTCTGATTTTCCTTCTCATGTGAAAATGGCTCTAGCTGATTGATGTCGACGTACTAGGTAGTGGTCATCTTCAATGTCACATGCGAAAGAATTTGCAATGAGCAGTTTCTTGTAGTGTGTGAGCAGACTTGGCTGTACTGTTTTGCAAACTGTTGGCAGTTTGTCAGTTATTTGGTGCAGTCATGGCATGTAGTCGCAATCTCTCAGTCAACTGTCTACCATCTGACAAGAACTGACCTTGTTCTTCACTATTGCCAAGTTTTTTATTCCTAATCAAGTCACCAACAGTATAACATCTACAATGTGTGCAGAATCTGGTGTAGTTAGTTTGTTCAAATGCAACTGCCTGTAAGTTACCAGGTAACATTTATTAAACGTTATGGATATCTTTTTATTTTGCCTTTTCAATCCAAAAATGCAGCATGTTACTGGACCAGGAGCGCCTCCCATGGGCTTTGGTTCGTTTCATCAACAATATTTTCTCGACGGTAAGTCCTTGCTTGAAATAATGTAATCACAATCTTGGTAAATAAATTTATATATTGCGCATGTGTCATTTGTGTTGCTGACACTGCAGTAGTGGGTTACAGGAGACTATCAAAAGTTTAAACTATATCAAACATCTCAAGACCATTTTGTTGTGCATTTGACAACTGCTATGTTAAAGTAACTCAATATTGGGCGAACTACTGACACGCCAAGCAGAGCAAAACATGATTGGTTGGCCTTTGGGCAAGAAATGAAACCCATTGGTTATTTGGTCCATGCAATGCTCCCAGCACCTTCTAACGGTTACTTTTTTTTGTAATTCGCACTCGTTTACTACACTAATTGTGTCCTCAATGAGTGGTCTTGTTATGTCAAGTCGACATTCATTTCATGTTTTTTTTTCTTTGTGGCAGGTAAACTCATCGCAGTAGGAGTGATTGACATTCTTCCTCGTTGTGTGTCCTCAGTGTATCTCTTCTATGACCCTGATTATTCGTTTTTATCCCTTGGCGTCTATTCTGCTCTAAGGTAATCTTGATCTTCCTGTGCTTATCCACACTAACCATTTTACCAGCATGATGCGTATCACTCACTGCTTAAATGTATGAGTTATAAGGAAAGCCCTCGAAAATAGTTGTGGCTTCAATTCCAACATCACTGTTGCGATGCCAGAAGGTAAGCAACATTATTTCCAGCCGAACGGGTCCACAGCAAGTCGACATACTGTGACGGGAAAGTTGCGATGATATTACTGAATTCATTTTTAATGATTTTCGTAAGCTTCTAGGCCTCCGAGATCAACTTGCTTCATTTCCTTTTCAGGGAAATTCACTTTACTCGCTCACTTCAAAGAACCATTTCATCTATTCGGGATTATTATATGGGCTTCTACATCCACTCCTGTCCTAAAATGAGATATAAGGTATGTTTAGGTAAACTGGAAGGTGCTTAGTGTATGTCCGTTCTTTTACTCTACTTCTGTCAGCATCGTGCATGACTCGCGTGGATCTAAAGATTGCACATTCGGTCCACATGAATCGTATGGTTAGTGTCATTTTTACGGCATCAATTTCTCTTTTCCCTGGTTAAAAAGAAATCGTTTTGTTACCTCAGTATAGTACAAGAAGCATTGACTGTTCAGAATCCAAACAGCCTGGAGAAATTACAGTGACTGTCGAATGTTTTATGTAGTAAATATTTGCGGTATCCTGATAGAAAAGGCCACGAGAATATGAATCACCCTCGATGGGAAAAAAAACACAGCCATCGAGAGAGTGTGCCATAACATGGCAAAGCGATTGTGCAGGCACTGCTGTTGCAAAAGGGGTAAATACATTATATCTTTAAATCTACTTGTAATGGTAATTGCATTGGACTCCAGGTTTACGCACTGGCCGGGGTCATTCTCAAGACGTTTTCTCTCACTCCGCCCAAGAGTATAAATGGGTACCAGCAAATTGTTAGAGAAACCTGTAGTAGTTACCTGTGATGGGCAAGCAACTTATCCAGTCGAGAAGCAATAGCTTTGGTTGCTATATGCTATAAAAACCTAGAGTTAAGCACCGGAGTGATAAGCCATCAAGACTTGAAGACAGACGTCGGTCCGTAATTCTAAACTCTGAATGTTTCCCTTTTCCTTACAGGGCAACTATGCGCCATCTTACCTCGCCTGTCCAGAAACTTATAACTGGATTCCAATTGAGCATTGTCGTCCAAAACTCGACCTCAGTAAATATTCTCGACTTGATGACCCCGACGAAGGTAACAACTGTACAAAATTGGAAGAAACTAGTCTAACAAAATAAGGAGACTTTAATTTTAATTTTC